GTAACGTACTGAATCTGGGGTTCGGGAGCGGTCGACATGGTGGGTATAAAAAGGTCGTTGAAGTCGAGAGATGCCGTTGATGCAGCAGTGTGACGGTTGAAGTTGACGGAGAGCTCAAGTCACGTGAAAATTCTCGCGAACACCTCAGGAAAATATCGACACCTTGAACATCAGGCGCCAGGTCCCAGCCATTTCCCGAGGTCGCGATTGGTTACAGTCACGTCGCGTCACGCTTGTTTGGAGATCTTTCAATATAGCCTTGACCCGCGCATGCAAGGCTTCTTAACCTCCTCCCTTCCTCACCTTTCTCTCTTCCACTCTTGTCTGGTCATGCAGAGCTAGTGGAGAGACTATTACCCTTTTTTTCTTTTAATTGGTAAGAATCATTTTTCCCCTTTCAGGTGCCTATCCTTTCTCTCTGCGAGAGCATGCAAATCAATTGCTAACATTCAAAGCCTGCAGAAAAGAAGACACCTCCACTACCTGCTGCAGAACCTGTCCATTCTCCTAGTCGACCAGATCCTAGATATGCACTGCTGATCAGCTGGCTCGCTAATACCTTCCGGTTCATTCCCGATCCAGAGTGAAAGGGCTTTCTTTGATCGATAATTTCGGTCCTGCTCTCCACTATTTCTACCTGTCCATATTTTCGACCCTCGAATCTCATACTTTCGATCATATTTCAATACCCTTCGCCCTCCGCCCTTCATTTCAACCCCAGAATCTGATCAACCGTCGTGCATGGTGGGAAAACAAAGTCTGATGAGATGGAGTCTCAGGACGGTATCGATGTCCGCCCTATGAGGCGTATGTTTTCCACTACCGTTCTAACGAGAGCAATTGAGTGGCAACTAAACATGGTTATCCTACAGTGAAAGTTCTTTATACATTCGACAACGAAAATAAGACCAATTGCCTTGCGCGGTGGCCACACGTGCTTGACATCCAAACGGCTTTTCTAGACGAGAATACTCCGGTTGGAGTGATCGAGTTGAAGACATGCATCCAGGCAATTGTCTCTGCTAGGTTTGACTTCCTTTGCCCCCTGGAGAAAAAAAAAAATAATATACTTACGCAGTCCTTGTTTAGCCCGGAGCTTGTGGGTCAATTAGGAAAGGATTATACCGTCTATGCCTACGACTATTCTGAATTCGAAACCCCTCTTGTTGGGCAAGGCATGCTTTCTGGGGTGCTGGCCACCTTCTCATCGGCACCCGAGACACCCAATAGCCAGTCAAAGACCATGATTACTGGGCGAGTTTGCAAGAGCCCCCTCAGTGGTCTCTTCTCCAAAGGTGCCCAAGAGACGTTGGAGGTCAAATTACGGCTGGTGCCTGTCCCCACTGTCACTCAGAGTGAGTACTTCGCCAGCATGCAGAAGCATCAGAAGTTGACCAATCGCAATTTAGGCGACTTTGACACGCAGTCATGGACAAATTTCGTTCGTCAAAACCCCGCCCTCTTGGAATCCGCGAGAAGCCAGAGCCACAACGACCACGGATCTCCGATACATCAGTCTGGCATTGAGAGATTCCATCAGCTCTTGAGCGAAGGCTCGACGCCACGAGAGTTCCCTACATTCCATCACAATGGATCGGTCCGCTCGGTATCACCTTCGCACTCATACGCTGGCAGTCGAGTGTCAACGCCCGGTGGATGTCGAACGCCAGCTCATCATCAATCTTACCCCAAACAGAGCATTCCCCATAGTGATATGATTCGCCCGTCCTCAAGTGCCTCTATGCGGGACTGCGACAACCAGACCCAGCTTTCACACATCTCACACAACAACACTCGAAGGGGATCCATTCAGTCCGGATATGGCAGTGGTGATGAAGACTCAACAGAGGCCCCAGCCCGGAAGAGGGCCAAGGTGTATCAGGCAAACTGGCCCGGAAAGTCGGGTATGAACATCGAAAGACAACCAAGTTCGCTCAGAGTTGCAGCTAGCACTGCGGCCTCTGTACGAATTCACCGCCCAACTCCCGTGAACCCTGCTCTCACGGTCGAGCATTCCCACGAAGAGCCTGTCCGTCCACCCACCCCCATCTCTCGACCATCTGATTTCCAGCGTCGAAGCCGACCCACGGGTAGCTTGTTGCGGGAGTCGTCGAGCCTTAGCATTGCTTCGTGTCCTGCTTCGTACAATTCTCCATATTGTATGAGCGATGATATCCCTGCCACAGACGCTGGCGGTGCCTCCCCCGAGGATACCCGTTACCAAGGTCTCTTTGAGCCATCCTTCAACATGCCATCATCGCCTCCAGTTTTCGATAGCCGGTTAGCAAATAGATCAAGCCCTGTCTTGCCTACCATGTCTTTGGACAATGACTCCGGCTTCCTGAGTGCAGGACCGGATGAACTCATGGACGATGACGCTGTTGTGCCCCTGGATGACCGCAGAACGGGAGCGTCTCGTGGAATCACCCGAGACAAGTGCTCAGTTCGCACTACTGTGCAGGCAGGCTCTCCAGCCAGCATTGTCAGTGCTGCCCAGGGAACTAACAACGATCCTCTCCCCGTCGATGATACTCCAATGGAGCAGGTTGCAAAGCTGGCGCCGCGTCCGATATCTCGTGCTGCCCCTTCTCGCCCCGCTCAATCCCGTCCTACACCCTGTCCTGCCACAGCCATGGCACCCGCATCGAGACCTTCTTCGAGCTCTGGGGCACAGCGCTTGGCGCCAAAACCCCTCGCGCCAGCGCCACATATCTTCCCTAATGAATTTTCCCAATTGTATCGCGCAATCCCCGCTAGCGACCCAATTCTACCTCCTCGCTCTGCTGCGCCTGTGGGGCCTGTGGATGTCACTTTCATGCCGTGTGAGACAGCTAGTTCCAGTTCCAAGCAGCCAAAGCAACCGTCAAAGCCAAGGCCATTGGCGAAGCAGGGATCCAAGGCGGTGCCGAAGAACATCAAGGCACGCTTGGACAATGCTATTCTCAATGGGGAAATTCCGCCGTATTGTGAAAATTGCGGTACCATCGAAACCGCCAGCTGGCGGCGAGCGTGGGTGAAAACGGTCAAGGGTGGCCAGAGCCTTGCAGAAGAGATGATGAACTCTTCCCCTATGCTCTATTGGGAGGCCGTGGACCGAAACGACAAGGGCGAAATGCAGAGTTTCAAGATCTACAAAAAGGCTCTCGAGCAGGATGATAATGATTGGTCGCAGTTGACCTTCTGCAATCCTTGCGGTTTGTGGCTCCATAAATTCAAACAAATGCGCCCGGAAGACAAGTGGACCAAGCCAAAAGCAGCGCAGCCGGCCAAGAAGTACAAAAAGCGACCTTCGAGGAACCGCAGCCAGGTCAATTCCTGCCCTGCTACCAGAACCCGGAGCAAGGCTGCACCAAAGAAGCCCTCGGCTTCCTCTCCAGCACCCACCGAAGCGTCTTCCGTCCATCCCGATGGGGAGACCCCCCAAATGGACGATGATGACGATCAAGAAGGCGAAGCGGATTATTCTCCCAACGATTCTACTCGAGGGACCAGTGCTGAGTTGGAAGGGACGTTCGATACCCCGGGACGCCGTTGGTCCAAGCAGGACGCCAGAGAGGCACTGACGCGTGCCACCAAGTCTAGCCCAGTGAGCCGTACGCAAGCCCGCTCTGCTCCAATGACAGATGCCAATAGTCTCACCCCCAAGCCCTTGAGAAGGTCCCTTTTCCAGAACTCCCAGAATGATGGGCCTCTGAAGGAGCTTGATTCTTCTATGGTAAACAGCTGCTCTCCCCGTCGCAGCCCTCGCATTGCCTCCACAAAGGATGACAAGCTGGGTCAGCAAAAGGAGAATCCTGCACCCACACTGGCCGATGACCTCGATGGTCTATTCGAAAGTCCCTCCATTGGATTTGATTCAGCAAGCCCTACCCCCCGTCGACGTAACCCACGCATCAACGCGATTGACAAGCGTTTGTCTTTCCCCGCCAACTCCCCAAGCCTCAACAAACGCAAGGATCTAGGCTCGGTCATGACTCCAGCTCGTCTATCCGCAGAACGCCTGCAGCGTATCCAATCTATTCACGGAAGTCCTCGGTCATCACCACGGAAGTCCCCGGCCAAGCAACAGTCTTTTCCACCACAACCCACCTCCGATAGTCTTCCGGGGACCTTCGAGTCTCTTGATGGCATGATCCTCGACATCTTCGATGATGCCGACAAGGCCGAAGCTTTCTTCGAAATGGAGAACGAGAAGTTCACCGGTGACAACTGGGCGGAGTGGCTTCCAGCGGACTACGGTTCCCCTGCTGGATCTTGCGAGACTCCTGCCAATGAGCTGCTGGGCGCTCTCTTCTCTGAGGACCCCAACGAGAAAGAGAACTTCAACCCCGACCTCCTCCCCTTCAACTTCAATGATGTTGTCATTCCCGACTCCGGGTTTTTCAGCTCGGACACTCTCCCCGCCGACGCACTCAAGAGCCAGCCCGCTGGTGAAGAACCTGAAGGCCACCAGGCTACCTCCCTTATCTAAGACGGGGGGAGTGGCTCCATCGATGTCCTTCTCACATGCCAAACCAATCATGTTTACCTATTTTTATTCTTATTTTTGCTGTTATTTTAGCGACGGCGTTCGGTTTATTGGTTGATCTCGTTGCATACAGACAACGGATCCTGACTTGCACCTTGAGATTTACGGCCTTTTCTTATTTGTTCGAACTGATGACCTGGAGTATCTTGAAAGAACTCCGATACATTCGCTGTCCCTTTTGGTGGATGCATTCCCTAAAGTGGAGGCGGTGATCTCTGTTGGCTAGGATACCTTTTCTATGGATCCTGAGTAGTTTTATGATGGCATGAAATACTAAATCAAATCAAAAATCACAATAACTATATCCTGGCTCTAGACTCCTTTAATTCATGTCGACAGGCTATAATAGTAAAAGATAGGAATGATGTCGACCTCAATGTTCCCCCGAGGACTTGACGCCCTTGGGGAACGTCTTGGACAACGCAGCTCCATCGAAACCATGCGTACCTCTTCTCCTCCCCCTCCGCCACCAATGGGCTCAATAGATAACGAACGGAGATTCAAAAGTATCACATTACCCTGTGAGTGGGTAGAGGATTACCGCCCAGGTGGTTATCATCCAGTCGTTCTTGGGGACGTCTTAGACCAGTACAAGGTCATCCGGAAGCTTGGCGATGGCTCTTCCTCAACTGTTTGGCTCGCCCGTGACCTGAAGTAAGTCTATCTGCATTTTTCTATTTGTATGGAGTATACTCATTTTCCTCTAAGAAAGAGTGGATATGTCGCCCTGAAGATCCTTGTGTCTAACATCTCAGGATCGACAACTGAACTACGACTCTTACGCGACATCACCAAATTCGCAGAAGGGACCCGGTATATCACGCGATTACTAGACGAGTTTGAACACCACGGGCCTAATGGCATCCACAAGTGCCTGGTATTTGAGCCCATGGGTCCAAGTGTGAATTCTATGGTCGAGGAGCTGCCGCAGTTTCACCCTCGCAGGCAAGAAATGAAGGTCCGCTATCCGCTTCAGATGGCGAAGGGCATCCTCAAGCAATCCTTACAGGCTCTTGTATTTCTCCACGAAAATGGTATCGCCCATGGAGACTTCCAGCTAGGAAACATACTCTTTACTCTTGACAATATCATCTCAGCGCCCGAGGAGCTGCTCCGGCAAGAGGAAGATGTACAAGCCAAGTCAATCTCGCCCCCTATACAGAGGCTAGACGGCAAACAAGATAAATGGGCACCTCGATATCTTTGCGTCGCGCGGCCCCTAGTGCCCTTTACCTCCTACGAAGGGTTTAAGGTCAAATTATCCGATATGGGCGGTGGTTAGTACCTTCTGTTTCGATTACCTGTTCCTTGACGAATATGTATACTTATATCTGACCTGGATAGCATATTTCTTTACCGGTCCGCTAAAAATGCCCGTCACTCCACTCGGTCTTCGAGCTCCCGAGTTGATTCTTACCGGAGCCGTTAACAATACCCTTGACGTCTGGAGTTTTGGTTGCGTTCTTTTTGAGCTTATCACCGGACAGCCGCTCTTTTGTGTACCATGGTCCGAGATGGAAGACGACGATCATCTTCTCTCCCTTACCGCGCAGCTCGGCGCTATCCCTGACGAGCTCTTCAAGCATTGGACGACATCGTCGCTCTACTTTACGCCCGAGAGGATGCTCTTTAATTGTCAGCTTGGAGGAGTCCCTCCGGGGGAGGAACCGCTTATGGTGGAGCAAATATCTATGGAAGAGTCCTTCGATCGGGCAGATCCAGATCTTGATGAGGAGGAAGCCCACAAAGTGAAGGCGCTCATTCGATGGATTCTGCAATATAATCCCGCGAAGAGACCTTCAGCTGCGGAAATCTTAGCTGATCCGTGGTTCTGCGAGATTGACGTTGAGAGCGTCTCCAAGGTAAACATAGTCTAGTATCCTGGGTGGTCGTTGACTGCATGGCCATAGTTATATAATGTGTGATTCGTCCACTGGTTTTCCTTCACCTTAAGAGTAGCTACGTCAGAACTGTTCAATTCCTTCCATGATTGTGACCTCCAGAGCTGCCTTGGGGAATCGTGATATTCTGTTGAGCCATCCGGGGAGAAAACCCCTACGATAGACTAGACAGTAACAAACACGACCTTCTCATCAAATGCCATCTTTACTGCAACTATGGCTTGAACCACCGGGCCACTCAGAACGATACTAAGTGCGGCGCAGCCTTACTAAACGGCCTACGACCGAACGGACTAGAAGATTGGAAAGGAGGTCCAGGGCATTATGGGACTGAACACCCAAACGTCTGTTGTACCTAAACGGCAGGGACCCTGGAAGGTAAACATGGCAAGAGCGAAGGACCGTCCATTTTCGGAAGGTCCGTAGGAGGTGACCGTATAAAAAGGCTCCTCCCATCTTTCCTCTTCTCTTCTTCTCTTCTTCTCTTCTTCTCTTCTTCCTCTCCCGAGCCCTCGACCAACATCTCCCCGTAGCCCACCTGAGATCGTGCAGAGGGGCATGCCTTGCACACAACCTAGCTATCAACATTATCAAGTTGTTGAGGTCTGAGGTCCATGTGTAGGTCCACATCAAATTGGAAGTTCTCGTGGAAAGGATTGAATAAAGTCATTGGCTGAGCTTTCGGGTTCCATAGCCATTTGACAGATCCCACGGAATACATGAGGGCACATCCTCTTTCATTGTACAGCTAGTCACTTAGGTAGTTGCCCGAATACATTCATTCCACCTTCAGTGTTTAATAAGTTCAGCTCAATGTAAATCCTTGAAGCTTTGATCATAACCTCATATGTAAAACGCAAAAGCCGGGGAATCACAAAGGGAGAATCACAGTGACAGCATCGACATCTCAGGCCTCAAACAGACATATCTGCTCTAGGCTCTAGCTAACAGACCGTGCGGACAACGGCACAACCAGGGTGACCAATCTTCTTGGTATATTCAAGACTCTTAGCATACCCAGGACAAACCCCTCAGAAAAATGGCCATATATTCAAATCCCTCAACTCATGGCCCATCAGTCGTAAAAGATAGACTTGAAGTTATGCGTAGCATTGACAACATGCTCGTAGATCTTATAATCTGAAATCACAACACATACAAGTCAGTCTCTAGGCCAATGTACCTCGCAGAGGAAAAAGTATTCAACACATACCGCAATCGGCTGGGTCACCCCACTCTGTCGAGCCTAGTACACGGAGTCCGTATCCCTGCAAGACACAAACAAAACATTAGCATCGACTCTACATAGCCAAGGAAGTCCAAATTCAAGATATCAGGTCCATATCCCTCCGGGCTCCCTCCGGGTCCAATGTTCAACATACCTGTCCACCCTCTAGATCAGCCACTTTCCCCACAATCTCAACCAACTTTCCGACTTGCAAGCGCGCATCGGACCTCAAGATCAGCGTGACATCGCCATTAGTGCCGCAGGTGAGTGTGCCGGTGTCCCCGTGGAGGGCGGTGACGGTGCCGAGTATGCGAACAGTGTTGGAGCTAGCGCTGGAGGGGTGGAAGGCGTGGAGGTGGGAGGGGAGAATGCGGGGGGTTTGGAGGGACATTTTTTACTATTAACTGTTGGATGTTTCTCGCCTGCGGTGGAGAGTTCGGGATTTGGAAGTGTTGAGGTGATGGGTTTTCGTTGGCGTAATTTGATGCTGGAAAACGGCGGGGAGAGTAAGGTTGATCGACGCGAGGCGCGGAAACGCGTGATCACGTGGTGATTAAATTGTATGGATAAATGGGTGATAAAATGGACTTGTAAGATAGAGATCTGTTAATGCTATGTGAACACTGTTTTAATTAGGAACTACATTCTTGGATAAGCGGAGGGAAATTTTGACAACGTGCAATAAATCAACCTCTGAGTTGACGCAGATAATTCTCACTTCTGCCTCTTGTGGCTTTTCGATATCCTCACGTGATCATATATCTCCAGCGAAAGCTTCAGCCCGATACGTCAATTCAACAAGTCACCACCAAACCATACTACGGAGCGGGCCGGGCGCAATTATCTGGCTTTAAACTTGAAGCTGGGCAACGGAGCTCTACATATCTCTACATAACCGACACTCACCCACCCTCAGCACTCATCACATCCGACCACAATGCCTCCTCCGTTCCCCTCGTCCCACCGGGGAATGACCAAAAATCCCGTCAAACCTAGTCGCTACCGCCCTGGAAAGGCTATCGCAGAGGAGCACTCATCCGAGGAAGAGGAGGAGGAAGAAGAATACGATGAAGCTGAACGGGAGGCGCGACGAGAACAAGAGCGGCGCAGACGAGCCGAGGCATTGCGCCGAGCAAAAGCGCCCAAAGCGAGCTCATTCCCAGCCTCTGCAGTAGCAACCCAAAATGCCGAAGAGGAAGATGATGAGGAAGGGTTTGTCACCGAAGACGAAGAAGATGACAAGCCCGCTGCACCTGCGCCGAAAGCAGTACCGCAACCTACGACTGATGATTTAAAACCTACTGTGCCCACAACGGCCGCGGAGAGCGCTGAAGAAGAAGAAGAAGAAGACGAAGAAGAAGAAGAAAGCTCCGAAGAAGAGAGCAGTTCCGAAGACGAAGCACCACGCCGCGTGCTCATGCGTCCAACATTCATTAAAAAAGACCAGCGCAACACCGCATCCACACTAGCCGGGCAAACAAAAGCCCAAGCGGACGCAGATCGCGCCGCCGAAGCCGAAGCCAAACGCGCCGCACAACGCCAAGAAAAAGCAGACAACCTAATCCGCGACCAACTTGAAAAAGAAGCGATAGCCCGCTCAACCGCGAATCGCGCCTGGGACGACGACGAGCTCATCGAAGCCGAAGACGAAGAAGCCATCGACGACACAGACGGTCTAGACCCCGAAGCCGAACGCGCAGCCTGGACACTCCGGGAACTGAAGCGCGTGCAGCGAGCTCGGGAAGCGATCGAAGCGAGCGAGAAAGAGCGCGAGGAAATTGAGCGCCGTCGGAACCTTACAGCTGAGGAGCGGGAGCGCGAAGACAGCGAGTTCATCGCGAAGCAGAAAGAAGACCGCGATGCTACGCGTGGACAGACGGGCTTTATGCAGCGGTATTTCCATAAGGGTGCTTTCTTCCGTGGGGATCTTGAGGCGGAGGGTCTTGATCGTCGGGAGCTTATGGGTGCGCGCTTTGAGGATGATGTCAATCGTGATACGTTGCCGGAGTACATGCAGGTGCGGGACATGACGAAGCTTGGAAAGAAGGGTCGGACGCGCTATCGGGATCTTAAGTCTGAGGATACGGGGCGGTTTGGGGATGGGTTGGAGAATAGGCGGAGGAGGGATGGGCCGCCTCAGGGTGTTACGGATGAGCGGTTTATGCCTGATCACCATCGGGGTGGCGATGATGGGGATCGTGGACCAACTGGTGCTAATGCTAGTGTTGTTCGACCTCGGTATAGGTCGAGATCGCGTTCGCCGAGGCGGGACAGACGTGATGATAGAGACTCCGGTCGGGTCGAGCGCAGTCGGTCTAGGGAGAGACGGAAGCGGAGTCCGTCGCCCTATGATGATCGGGAGAAACGTCGGCGGGTAGATAGTTCGTGATCGGCTTGATCATCGAGGCGATGTTGATCTACTTGGCTGTTGGCGTTGGGGCGCGAATCTAGCACAAGGCGCATGTGCTATGGGGTCTGCTTCTATGATATCTTGAATTTCGAGCAACCAATATACCAATACTGTTCTGTGTATGTACATATACGTAATATAGCATATCCTCTCCTGGAGGAATTGTATTGTATGATATCTGCTGGCCGACAATCAAAGACTTTTGTACAAGATCCACAGCAGACTGCAAGAACCGTTAACAAGTTCCTCGGATCGACCGTCCAGACTTGTACTTGCATGACTTCGTGAAGGGAATGTCGGTGTCGGAATCAAAGACCAAAGAGCCGTAGAGTAGGAGCTCTATAACCACCCAGAGCATCTCAAACGCCGTAGATCTACCACGCTAACAAGCACACATCAGCCTACAGACTGCCAAACACCCCGGTACCGCTGAATGCAAGATCATTCATTATTTAACACCCGCCCTCTCGAGCACCTTCTCCCTCTCCATAACCGGATCCCCAAAGCGAACCAAGAACACCGTACGACTAGGCCAGAGTTCCGTGGGCTGATTGTGCGCCGAGACCTTCGTCTCAAAGCCACACCCGTCACAGACACCCTCGATGATGCCGGCAACATACGCAGCGCAGTTGAGCATGCTCATATCGCGGGGCGCACTGATATATGTGTTGACCATTGGGTCATTATCGGTGATCATGTATTCGTTGGGGGTGTCTGGGGAGACGGAGTGCTCGAGGGCATCTGCGGCGCGGCCGAAGAGGAGACGCCAGAGCGGGCCGTGGATCAGGTGCAGAAGGGTTATGATGCGGAGGGGTCGGTTTGGGGGTGAAGAGGAGGTCGAGGAACTTGAAAGAGCTGAGGAGGAGGTTGAGGTTGAGCGGTAGAAGAGGAGGTCGAGGAGGCGGAGGCCGAGGGGGTAGCCTTGTTCGTTTAACCTGGATGGAGGGGTTAGCTACGGGCTGCTAGGGAGTTACTTGGCGGTGATTGTTTCCGCGAGGGCTAGGGAGAGAATCCCAGGTTTGAATTAGGGGGTCGGTTACCGTTTCTCCAGATCTTGTATACCGGTTACTCTTCGTTGAGCATATGTGACCATCTCTCCGAATAGAAAGGCGAAGCTCGCCCGGCTGAGTTCTGCATTACGACTTCGGTTCAGGTGTCGGTCGTAGATGGTCTTGCGATTGGAAGGTACACGCAGTCCAGGGGACTGTTGTGATTGCTGGACTTGCTGTGATTGTTGTGTCTGTGATCTGTCGTTCCCTTGTGCTGTGCTGCCATTGCTGATGGACTGCATCGTGGCATGTCGAGGTGGTGCCGCCATAAGGATGGCGTTCCAGTTTGAATCAGAGTCAAGAAATGTTGATTTGAGAGCTTGATCTGGTCAAGTTGAGGTATCTATGGGAGGTCTGAGGTATCAACAGGGGATGAGGTACGGCGGAGCATAACTCCCTCGGGTGCAGATCCTAGACGATTTTATTTTTACGCTGAGAAGCTACGAGTCTGGAGGCTACTAAAGGAGCTGATTGGAAGATATTTGTAGGCAAAACTGCCATTCATTTGATACTGATATACTATCTCTAACCGTTGAATTCCACTCCCAACACTGAGCACCACTCGAAATATCTCTAAGCCGAGTCGTACAAAGCATCGAGCACCTCCAGCAACGGTCCGACTGACTGCAAAGCCAGACACTGTACACCGCAAAGCAACAATATGATATCGAATATCGAAAGTTTAAACCAAAAGGGATTCTATTCCTGAGAGACAATTAGCAACCGTCTCGACTGCCAAGTTTGAAATGCAAATTCATAAAAAGGAACAGCCAAATAATTCTCAGACATCCAAGGAAGATATTCCGCTCAACGCTGCCTTGATTGGGTTCAAGCGACAACTAGCGTGGAAACTGCGAATGTAGGAAAGTTTTCATCATCGAACGGCGCAAGGCCGTTGGCTGGGGGAAATGAATGCAATGCAAAAAAAGCCACAAACTTACCAAGTCAGTGAAAAGTATATGTGAATCTGTTCACATATACTCTTAGAGTTGTTGTCCTCCAACGGAGTTCAAAGCCCACATTAAGACTTCGAAACCGAGTTGGTTGAGGAAGATGAAGGAGAAGAAATTTCGGGCTGGGCGATGGCCTTTTATAGGGCCGGGCGGAGCCGCAGCTACTAGCGAAAAAAAAAAGTAGTGTCCACTTTGGAAAAAGTAAATGGCTGGGAATTGTAGCTAGCTAATTTATTAGCTAAAAGAATAAACAATATTCTTATTTTCCTTGCTAATCCCAGATCATATCGTTTTCGTAGATTTTGATCAAAAGTTATGTACGCCCAAAATGAACCACCCAGTGGCTGTAACCCAAATCGAAGCAAATAGACAGCAACAACACCAAATATGCTCATGAAAGAGAAAGGGATGGAAGAAAGAGTCAAGGGCTATGCCAGAGAATAATGTTCTCCACTCCAGCTACTTGAAGCTCTTCTGCTTTTGTCGCGAATTCCAATTCAAAGTCTTCGAGATGCTGTGCACCCAGCCCTCGCCCTGTCCACCAGGAGGTAAGACATTGGCAAAGGGATATCTCGATGCTGACACGGTAACATAGTCACCAGGATGTAACTCGACTCTGGGATTTGTCAGTCAGTTAACAGACCCAACCAATGGTGATGTAACAAAGTAACAAACTCACCTCTCTCGTCCATCAAAGCTAGCCCATGAGCTCGTGCGCGCATCGTATGGCACACCCATGCGCAAGACAATAGTGTCTGGTAGAATAATCGGTCGGAAGGACAGCGTGTGGGCGCAGATGGCGGTGACAAGAATGACGGGGTTCTCGGGGTGCGAAAGAGAGCCGCCAGCGGCGAGATTGTAAGCAGTCGATCCGGTTGGGGTAGCAATGCAGATTCCGTCAGCAAGCAGAGTAGTGAAATGCTCGTCGTCCCCGAAGAGTTCAATTTGAGACATGGCTAGGGAAGATTGGTTAGCTATATGTCTGCTGTCGCGAAACCTAACATGTAACACAGGGGAATCGCAATCAAATATCAGAAATCGGAAGACATACTTGGGTTTGGCCCCCGGTCGAGGACTACATCGTTGAGAATCTCATACACATTATCTGGGGTGTGCGTTAATGTGTCCTCCCCTTCCTCTCCGATCAATTCCTCTACTAGGTCATGCTCCGGTAGAGAGCGCGCATGCGGGTCTCTTGCCCGTGCCTTGCTGCGCATGATGGTGCATTCGAACCGTAGCCGTAGACTGACGAAAACGCCATCCCGAAGAGCATTATGGAGGCTATTCTGATAATCCGCAAAGTCGAAATTGGTCAAGAAGCCCAGTGAGCCCAGCGCAAAGGAGAGCACCGGCGGCACGATGCGCTGGAACAGCCAGCTGGTGTAGAGAACGGTTCCGTCGCCGCCGAGCGTGATCACGAAATCGAATAAATGCGGTTGTTCTTGTGCAAGCCTGGTATCCCAGTACTTGAGCCGGCCCTCGGCGGAGGGCTCGTCTTGTACCAGTTGCAATGCACCGAAGTCCGCATGTGTCTCGAGCCGCCGTTCGACATAGACCACGTACATATAGTCCCGGTCTTTAGAGAGTAGCCACCGTGTAACCTTTCGAGTCAGGCTTACCAGCGTCTCGTCTTGCGCCTTGCTTACAATGAAGATATTCTTCACGGTGAGCTTCAGCTTGAGGCTACCCAGCTTCTTGGATAGCTTTCGCACATTCCAGGCCATATCGGAGAGCTGTCTCTTCGTAAGATGCCGGGATTCGATGACTGTGGGTGCCGATTTGTTACTGTGGTCGACCCCCGAGACCAATTTATCTGGTTGGATGCCCGTGGTATTTGCCACGGGTTTGGTCTCGTCCTCATCCACTGTCCGTATCACATCTTCTGTGTCATCTTCAGGCTTCAGGTGGTATTGGGGTGAGGTCCATTCGCTCGCAATGAGGGAATGGACGTAGCAGGCGGTCATTTGGTCATTATGGGCTGAGTGATGTTGGACTCTCGGCCGGTCCATCGTAACAAGGGAGGACTTGCGGCGGTGGGTGGAATCGGGATAGAACACGACCTGGGTAGTGACATGTGCTTAGTATGAAACTTCATTAGGAGTCAAACTGCTTACCTCCAGGTGATTCTGAGCGTCCGTATCGCTCGCCGCTCCCTTGTTCTATGATGGCATTGGTCAGTCACTGCAATGCCCCAGTCCATCGGCACTTACATCGTCCGTAACTGCCTTATCCATCGCGCAGAAGTACTCGAAGTTCCCTGTTGATCACTCTGTCATGGTTGAGATGCCGGGGTGTTGGTGGCATGAAAGAAAGCGGGTAACTGGAAACCATGCCCCACCACCTCGGTGCAACCGCAAACAAAATTCTAGAAATTAGGTATCTTTTGTATGGTTTGCCCATATAAAAGGTACATGCACATACCATCAATATTTTCACCACTTAAGCTAGCTAAAGGAATTGTAACTACACCGACTTATAATATAAGTCTAACACAATTAATTTGGTACTATGTTTAGTCCGATCTATCTAATGTGTAGGAACAAACATCATATAAAAAAAGCGCTATACATAAAGATTGACGAACACCAGTGTGAGCTTGGCACGATTATGACGTAGTACATATCCACTCAGGGAAAAAAACAGCTCCCAGAACACATGGCCGATTTTCCAGAGTGCATATTTTAAATGACTTTATTTATTAGAGATTTTATTTATATGGGTTTTGCACAGTTTTTTTGTCTTGGCAGTTCAGTCTACTACTGGATACACATGTTTTCTATGGAGATATATCGGAACGTAAGGTGATCTGATAGATTTGCACGCTAACTTCCCTCCCATGCTTTACATCGAATTCTTCATCTCTCTCAATGCTGCCATCACCTCCACAGGGTCGGTCTTACCGGTTACCTTTTGGATTTCGGGGTCCTGTGTTCTAAGTGAGAAACGGCATATACAAGGGCAAAGGAGAAGGAACTTACATTGACGCGCATGAACACATTGTGGAGCTAGAGATTTGTCAGTCTCGACCAAAAAAAAGTCACTTAGTTTTAGGTCTTACCTTCTCGTCGCCGATAGTGAATTTCCCTTGTGTCTGCTGGTTCTTTTCCGCAAATGCCTGGAGCTTCTTGATGGGCTCTGTCTGCGAGACTGCAATGCAGAACTTGACATTGGCCTTTGTGTACTCGTGACCGGGCTAGAAGGAGTTAGCACGGGCCTCACATCAACACGCAAGGACAACCTTACATAAACCTTGGTGTCATCAGGCAGAGCCGCGAGGGTCTCGTTCAAGGCCTTGTGCATCTCCTTTGCATTTCCTTCGAAGAATCGGCCACATCCTGATTTCAAAATTAGCCCATGACACTCCATCAACAGGCGTCGGGATGAAAGTTTTGAAAATGATACACATACCGCCAATGAAGAGAGTATCGCCTGTGAAAACAACACGCTGATCGCCATCTTGCATATAGTAGCAGACGCTGTCTTGCGTATGACAAGGAGTGTGCAATGCCTTGACTGAGATACGATCTCCGATCTTGAATTCTTCGCCATGCGCGGGAGTCTTGGTGACAGATGCGCAGTCCTTGCCACCAATGACCTGAAGGCCCTTGAATTGTTTCAACTGTGCAAATGTTAGCTTGAGGCAACACGAAATATCCCGAGAGGATGCATACAATGTTATCATTGCCGCCAGCATGATCCCAGTGGCTTCAGCAAATGTCAGCAACCCTGGATTTCGTCTTCTTTTTACCAGCCTATGAAAGTTCCATTCACATACTGGTGAGTGTTAACAATGGCCGTCAGGTCAATCTTTCCAGAATCAATCTGGGACTTGAGCTCAGGCGCAACCCTGCAATTCCACACAATCAGTTTAGCTCATGCAGTGGTTTCGACCTGATCTAAGACCCAACTCACTCCGGAGGATTGGCGGGATCAATGATAACCGACTTCTTAGTCGACTCATCTGTCACGAGGTAGGCATAGTTGTTGCCCTTGCCCGTCCCTGTAAAATTGACCCAATATAAGCAAATACTCTTGCAATATACTAAGGTTACTGTTGATTGGTAATATATATCGCGGGACCAACATACACATAGGAATTGATTGGATATGCATGGCTCTGACTTGTAACTTGAACAGAGGTGATCGAGTTCGGAATAATTGCGTCCTTAGGAAGTTCATCACCAACGATGAATCAAAACAGTGCGGGGAGCTCTCGAAAGAGGTACACTGCCTGGGTGGATCTCTCGGATTACCAACGTCATCCGGAAGAATTATTTTCCCGGTTAGCTCGACAGCTTTTAGTAATGTCACCGCTTCTGATTGGCTACTCGTTACACTATGTAGATGAAAGGTGGATGTCTACGTAGGTATATTGTATAGGGGATATTGGCTTTGGGGTTCTCTAACGCTGCCAGCAGCGTGTGTATTTCATTTTGTGAATTGGAGGTATGCCCGTCTAATTACTTGATACCACTCCCAAAGGTCGACTGTCCCATTTCTCCAAGAATCCCCACCCATGTTCCAGCAGCTTATCCGAGAGCTGAGTTGGAGCGTATTGCGAGTCATTTCGAACGTATTTGGGCTTCGAGACTCGGTTCTTGGCAGCGGGTCGAGCAGCAAGAACTGATTTGGGCTTGCTAGCATGCTTTCTTAATTGATCTCCCAACATATTTGTCCAGTGGTGTGGACTTTCATCGCAAGCTCGAAGAACATAGCTCTGCGGGCACGATTGCCTGTGGAACTCCCAGGAAGGAGATGTCAAGATATGCGCGATCCACAGATACAGTGCCTCGGAAGACGCATCTTCCGATATATCTGTTGTGTTCTTAAAGGCTAGATCGTTCACCAGATCTTCCGTCAAATGCCTCAAAAACGCAGGATGACTCTCTGCAACCTTTTGCAGAACCGGGTTCCATTCCTTGAATGTATCATTCAGTGATTCCCCAAGTCTAGAACTTCACAGTCAGTATGTACTCCCCGACAACAGATGCACCCCTTCAGACACATCCGAGACAAAAAGATATAGAAACGGGGAAGGAAACTCACTCTCGTTCCTTAGGCACCAAGTACCCCCGCTCGAGCAAAACAGAAGACAAAAGTCTGACCCCCGTCCCCGAAACATTACAAACCGAGACAAGCCGCATAGCGACCGAAATAGCTTGATCCCGCTTCCGCTTCTTGGGCACATCCGCCGATCCACCGGCTAGAGGCTGTAGAGCGTCACACAAGGCGGCCCTGACAGACGCATCGTCGTCACGGGTCAATGCAGAGTCGTCAGCAACACCGGCCCAGTAATTGTCCCACAGCCACTCGAGCGAGCGCTGTGCAGCTTTGCGCAGTACGACAAGCGACGGCGGCTCGCGGTGGGTTGCTTCGTGGCGGAGTTCCACGAAGGAGGCTGGGAGGCCTAAGTCTGTGGCGCGCTGGAACATTGTTCGGCGAACGCCGTGGATCTTGGTGTCCACGAGACCGGTTACGAAGCTAAGCTGGGTGTTAGTTTTGAAAAACGGGATATATGCTGTGTGAATAGGGTTGGGGTTGAATTCGATACATCCTCCCAAGGAATCAGATGGGGGTTTCTCTCCCATCAATGTAAAAATGAGAATCAGGTACGGCTCAATAACTCACCGACAGAAAGCTGCGGAGTATGTAGCACGAATTGAGAAGATGGAATTCCTCTGCGCATCATCATGGAGAATAGCATCTGTCAATAACGCCGTAGCTTCAACATGGTGCGGTACATTGCCGCGTAGCTTCCATGCTTCGACCTTTAATTTGGATATCGTTAGTAAACCACATACACGGCGGGACACCACTCATTTCTAGCATGCATATGTAACATACCACTGCACAGCCATGGGAACGCAAATCCGGTCCAGCGTACGCAGACGGAGGATAAAACTCGTTCCGTACTTCCAGCAACTGAGACTTGGTTTTCCAAGCCGTGAAAATGACCTTTGCCATTCTCGATGCTGAGTTTCAAATGAGAAATTAGAAATTAAATTCGATGCCTGTTGGGTGACCTCTTGCTTGCTTGACTTTTCGTTGATAGCCTGCGAAATATTTTCGGCGGATTATTGTTCCTTTGGGATGGTTTTGCCGAGGTTTATTCCATCCGTAGCCAATCAGAGGATGAGTTTGTATACTTCGAGATCTTGACTTGACACTGTGGTTTTAACTTCAATTGAGCATGAAAATAATGATAGGTAGTAAGTATTGAGGTACGTTGTATCAGATTGTGTAGTTTGTGTACGAGTACACCTAAAGTAAATGTTGGTAGATCTCGTCCCGGGGTATCCTTTCCGTGTATCCGACTCCGAGAAAAAAGAATGAAAGACAACTCCACGCTATGTATGCCGCTGGTAAAATAAGAAATGCGAAAAAAATGCAGATAAAAAAGAATCCTCCACTAGGCGATCTCAGATCCACCCATAACCATAATTCATGCAGGGCTGATTGAAACCAGCAAAAGGCTGTGCAGCAGCCATCGGCTGCTGTTCCGTATCATCGTGGTCGAAGAAGAAAGACCGCAGGCTCAGAGCTTGTTTGGGCTGCTGCTTGGATGGAAATTTCGACGGGCGAATGGTAGCCGCAGATTCATGGTAGGTTGGTTGCTGGGGCAATTGATTCTGTCCAATGATCTCGACCTCATCCGTCTCGGCGTCCTTATCTTCATCGGATGGGGTGAATGTTTCTTCGAGCTTCAAGCCCTCGCCCAATTTGCTCTGTGGGGCTCGTGCCAGTGTTCCGTTGGGCTGGCTGTAGAGTCCCATGCCGACGAGTTCTTCGTCGCCCTTTCTGGTCCTCGTGGGCTCGGCGATGATCTGGAAGGGATCGAGTTGTTGAATGGGGAGAAAGTCCGGTGTTGATGGGCCACTCAGTTCACCTGGGGAAGGGACACTGATGTAGCTTGGACATGTTGTCTGTGGTGGTGGGATGTTGCTTCCCATTGATAGCATATCCAGGTTCCAGTTGTCGGAGGCTGGGTGAGACATTGACATATCGGTAGACATGGCGCCGAGATCCCATCCCATTGGGTCGAGCTGGGAGCCAGTCATGAGCGACGGCGTGTGTTGCGGAAGTGGCAAATCATCTTGCATGGTTGAGTAGACGGGGAAGTAGTCGTTAGGGGAGAATGAAGGGTCGGCGGTGGGATATGACATGATGTTTTCGTTGTAGACGGCCGAGTTGAGGTACTGATCAGATACGGCTCCTACGCCGGCATAGCTATCCG